TTTCACAATTCTTTCTAATGAAATTTACTTCTTGGAATGTTCGGGGTCTTAATGGCCCAATTAAAAGGCGGATGGTTAAGGATTATCTTCATAGTCATTGTATTGATGTTGCTGGTCTTCAAGAAAGCAAACTTTTTGATCCTTCACCTAGAAAACTTCAATCAATTGGGGGAAGGAGGCTCTCTCACTGGTGTCATCTTAATTCCTCAGAATCTAGAGGAGGAGTTTTAGTAGGATGGTCTGATGCTTTTTCCTTAGTACAATCATATGTAGGGATCTTCTCTGTTTCAGTCCACCTTCATCATAAACCAACAAATTGGTCTTTTATTTTCACATCTGTTTATGCTCCTATTGATAGAGAGGATAGAGCAGTTTGTTGGTGGGAGTTAGACAGAATTCGTTACATTCTTCCTGGCCCGTGGATCCTATGTGGAGATTTCAACGTTACTTTATCCTCTGATGAACGGAATGGTCGTAATGGATCTCCTAGAGATATTAAATCTTTTAGGAACTTTGTTTCCTCTTCATCTCTTATTGACTTACCTTTATCTGGTAGATGCTTTACTTGGTCAAATAAAAGGCAAAACCCCTCTTTGGCAAGGCTTGACAGATTCCTTATTAACTCTGAATGGGAAAATAAATTTCCTTCTTGCATCCAATTCTCTCCATCTGCCACTGGTTCTGATCATTTCCCTATTATTCTGGATAGTGGTGGGTTGAAGAGTCCCCAACCTATTTTCCGTTTTGAGAGAAGTTGGCTCCACAACACAGACTTCATTCCTTTTGTCTCTAAATGTTGGCTTTCTTTTCATGGTCATGGCAACCCTGTTGACATCTTTATTTTGAAATTAAAGCTCCTTAAGAAAAGACTTAAATGGTGGGAAAAAATGTCCTTGGTTGAATTTCTTCTAGGAAGTCAGATGTTTTATCAAAAAACAATGTCTTTGATTTAATTGAGGAGCAAAGGCCTCTTTCAGACTTGGAGATTAATGAAAAAAAGTCTCTTCATGACTCTTACATAGCTATCATCAAGGAAGAAGAAACATATTGGCACCAAAGATCTCGTGTTCAATGGTTAAAAGAGGGTGATGCAAATACATCTTTTTTTCATAAAACTGCTTCTTTTCATAGAAAAGCAAATTTCATTGCTTCTGTTAACTATCATGACAGAGATTTTATTGGAGATAAGGATATTTCAAAAGCTTTTTTCCAATACTACTATGATTTGTTTGGTCAAACAAATAGGAATCACATGCATATCGATTGGTCTTCTCTTTATCCTGAACAAGATAGTTCTCTGCTATCCCTTGAAGATCCTTTCTCTGAAGATGAAATTAAAAGTGCTGTGTTTGGAATGAATGCAAATAAAGCCCCAGGACCTGACGGTTTCTCTATGGCTTTTTATCAAACTTTTTGGGACTTGATTAAGGAAGATCTTAATGCTCTAATGGTTTTTTTTCATGATAATCCATCCCATATTCACAGAGTCAACAAAATCTTTATCACTTTGATCCCCAAAATCAAGGATTGCACTAAGGTGAAAGATTTTAGACCAATTAGCCTTATCAATTGCCTCTTTAAAATTTTCTCTAAAATTTTGGCAAATAGGTTGTCTTATCATATGTCTTCTTTAGTAGCATCTACACAATCTGCATTCCAAGCTGGGAAATCTACCCTTGATTCTATTCTTCAGCTAATGAAATGATTCATGCTTGTTCAAAAAGAAAGAAGGAAGTTGCTATGTTTAAGATTGATTTTGCTAAAGCTTTTGACTCTATAGACTGGGCTTTCCTCATTGATTTGTTGAGAGCTAGGGGCTTTGGTAATAGATGGTGTTCGTGGATCCTTCATATTATTTCATCATCTTCTTGTGCAATTCTTGTTAATGGTTCTCCCACTAAGTTTTTTTCTTGCAAACGAGGCCTTAAGCAAGGTGATCCTTTATCTCCTATATTATTCAATATTGCGGTTGATGTTTTGAACAAAATGATTATGAACAATGCTGAGGAGGGCTTACTGTCATCACTTGGTCTTAAGTACCCTCTCAATCATTTGAGGATTCTTCAATTTGCTGACGATACACTTCTTTTTGTCAAAAGTTCCTTCCATGATATCTCCATTTTAAAAACTATTCTATACATTTTTTAGGACATTTCTGGGCTAAGCATCAACTACTCAAAATCTTCTCTAGTGTACTTTGGAAATATTCAACACAAGGCTCATGATCTAGCATCTTCATTAGACTGTAAAGTGGATCAACTTCCTATCAAGTATCTTGGATTACCTCTCAAATATGGCAAACTATCTAAATCACAGTGGCAGCCCCTGTTAGATAACCTTTACAGGAAACTAGCATCGTGGAAGAAGAATACTTTATCTTTTGGAGGAAGATTAGTCCTTTTGAATTCAGTCCTTACATCAGTTCCTTTATACTTCATGTCTTTTTACAAGCTACCTAAATGGCTTGTCAAAGACATTGATAAAGTCAGGAAAAATTTCCTATGGACAGGAAAAACAGACACAAAATCCTTCAAATACTTAGTTAACTGGAAAAAAGTCTGTTTAAATAAAGATGAGGGAGGTCTGGGAGTTAAGGATATTTCTTTGTTTAACACTTCGCTTTTATCTAAATGGTTATGGAAGTGTTTGGATAGAAGTTCAATTTCTGGCAACTTTCTTCATCATCTTTATGTTCATAATGGCACAAAATTGCAGAATTCTTTCTTCAAGTCATCTAATTCATCATTCTGGAATGATGTTTTATCTAAGAAAGATGCTTTTCTACATAACATAAATTGGATGATTGGCTCTGGTAAAGATATAAGATTCTGGGAAGACAAATGGGTTGGTTTTAACAGTTTATCAAGTATTTTTCCTGAATCATACAAGTTAGCTTTCTCCTCTAATGCATCTATTAGAAGCCAAGGTTCTTATATTGATAATGAGTGGCAATGGCACTTATTGATGAGAAGAAGCATTCTTCCCAGTGCACAGGCAGAGAAAATTGATCTTTTGAAACTTATCAGTGACTTTCATGCTTCAAATAACTGTGACCAACCTACATGGGCTCTCACTTCTAATAGACAATTCTCAGTAAGGTCCTTCTACAATTTTCTTATATGGAGAGGAATTAAAAATCCCTTATACAAAGTCATTTGGAATACAATTATTCCCTCTAAAATTCACATCTTTCTTTGGCTTCTCTCACATAATAAACTGCATACCAAGGAGATTCTTCAGATAAAGGGCTGGAATGGTGATTCATTATGTTCTTTTTGTGGGACTGAACTGGAAACCAGAGATCACCTGTTCTTTTCTTGTCCTATATCAAAGATAGTTTGGCATCACTTCATGCGTTACTCCTTACCTTTCACTTGGTCTAATTCTTTGGATGATCTTATGCTTAGTCTGGCAACTCTTAGAGGCTTGGAAGGTGTTCTTTGGAGAAGCATTTTTGCCTCTGTTTGTTGGAGCTTATGGACTTCGAGGAATAAATTCATCTTTGATCAGATTCATTTCTCTTTTAAGTCTATTATTAACTTGGCAATATCTGGTATTTATGATTGGACAGGCACTGGAAGTGGAATTGTTGCTCAGAAAATTAAAGCCAAGCTGGAGGAAAACCCGATTAGCAGAAGCATATGACAGGGTTTTCGTAATGGGACTGTGAATGTCAGTTTTTGTAATTTCAGTTTTTGGCACATGTATATAAAACAGACTTTGTAGTTTCTGAGTTTTGTGGTTATTGGGTTATAGAAAATTTAGTTTCTTTTAACTATATATATGGCTGGCTTTGGTTCTTTCTTATATCTATGTCAACGGTGAATGACGGCAAGGCCCTCTCTTCACCTTCATGGATGTTTGAAAGAAGAAAGTCATATATCACTAGTTTTGAGAAACTATCTTTTCTATCTTCCAATCTTTGGATATAATTCATATCCTTCTTTTGTAAATACTTTTGATTAATACAAATGACAGGGTATATCCCTTGTTTTCCTTCAAAAAAAAAAAAAAGATGGCTTTTGTAATTTCACCGTATTTTAAAAGTGGTTCTTGTTAAAAAGCTCCTTGACTATTCATCTCAAATATCATTCACAAATAGTTTTGTAATTTCACCGTATTTTAAAAGTGGTTCTTGTTAAAAAGCTCCTTGACTATTCATCTCAAATATCATTCACAAATATCCCAATTAATTTTTTTTTCTTTTTTGTGGAGCCAACATGAGGGCCTTTGAGTTGTCCCCTCACAAGTTTGAGCTTTGTAGATAGCATTTTGCAGGTTAATTTTTTAGCTGCAATTATGATATCTTTATGAACTACCTATTTATGTAAAAGCATTAGTTATTACCAGTATCATGTGCTGTCTTACTGCTTTTCTAGAGAAATTACTTTTTGTTTATTTGTTTGTTCTATTTAGATTTCTGACCGATAAGCTTTGGCAATAATTAGCTTAATTTTTTATCCAAAAAAATTAACGAGAACATTATTCAATCTAAATTCTATTTCCATATAGTTGGACAAATTAACGAGGACATTAGGTTTAACTTTTCAGCATTAACTGATATTTTTTTTTGACATCTTGCTAGCGTTAAAAGAAACCGAGGAAATGTCAATCTAAAGTTTCTACTTCATACTTTTTATTTTATTTTACTTTATTTTGAATATATATTGTTCTGTTGCCTGTACTTTTGGAGCGGTGAAATTTGGGCAATCCTCTTTCTCCAACCCAATAAAGAATTTAATCTGACTATCTAAGTAGCGTATTCCTTATTTGTTAGGTTTCACAAGGATAGGATATCCGCTTTAGTTTCCCTTTTCGCAACATTAACACTAATAGCAAAGTATCAAATCTAGTTCTTTCATACAGAAAAATAGAAAAGAAAAAGAAATACTCGAAATTATGCAACAAAACATTTCGCCCATTATCAGATATAACATTTTATGTAGGTATGCATGCATTAATATTCCTTATTAGCCATTTTTCATGATGACAACAGCCAATACTAAAACAAAGACAATTCTTCACGATTGCCCAAGTAACTAACAATATACCAACATTTTCCAAGCAATAAGAACAAGCAAATCCAACATTCTCTTTACAAGAATAAAGCAAAATGCATTGTATCTATTCCTTAAGTAAGATAAATCACCAAGACAATCATTCATAGCCCTCGCAGGACTTTTGAACCAACACAACCCCAAGAGTCACAATGGAAGCATACACAGAGTTGGGCACTTTATGCACAACTTTACCGACACCAGGCACTCCTTCAGTGGCTCTCTTGGTGAGCAGAGCCACAGTGGGTGCCACAATAAGCGCAATTACCAGATTGCGGCTAATAGCAGTAACGGCGTCAGCAGTGAGCTTCCTGATGAATTCAGCAAATTCTTCACGATCCAGTAGCCCATCAAGGTTTAAATCATATTCCTGCAAGAAAAAGAAGAAGATCAGCAGTGAAAGGTGTTGAAATATAAAATTATAACCCTCAACCCTCAATTATAACTCTGAAGTTTTGGTGTGATGAGAGGGACTTTAAAGATGGTCGGAGCAATCCAATTTCAGATCCCTACAACCATGAACTTGTAAAGCCGATTATAAAAGATTCTGCACCATGAGTCCCGCTTTCGGCTCATAAGAAAAAGAGCCCCCAGCCAGCGAAGCATGTTGGAGTATAAAATTATATCCATCAGTCATCACCACAATTTCGGAGTTTTGGTGTAAGATAGTGGAAAATTATCCTAACTGATATTTAATAAAGGCTGGTAAGAAAATCTACATGTACTGCAGGGTATCCTAGGAGTACCCTTAATCTTTCTAAACCCTCAGAGCAGAAGTCAGGAAGATATCTTGTTAACCTCATTATCATGCTCAATTATCCATATAGTCCTGATTTGTTCTTGATTATTATGTTCATTATTGGAGTGCTTCTCAAGGTTCCACTAATATACAGCTTACTAACCTCCCACCTCTTAATTGTATCATATTTTCACTCTTTATATCTATCAGCAGATTGAGTACGTCATCAGATGTGAACAAATCATAGATACAAATTACAAAGTTCATATATATTAAACTCATGAAAAGTGAAAAAAAAGGTCTTCATGTTCTGGACACAAATTAGATGCACAACGGAATTCGACATTAGTGCACATGAACTCATAAAACATGGTTTGGAGGCAAAATTCATTAGAGGTTGCACATACACTGTTTGCATGAGAACGTAACAGCAGCAGTAGAAGTGTCACAAGAAATGATAATATTTGAAATGGTATCCACAAAAATATCTTCTAAATTTCTAATTCGAATGAGGTGCTTAAATATGAAGTTGACACAATCCAGATTAGTAGTAAACCACTAACCTTTCGCATCCAGATTAGTAGTAAACCACTAAACTTCAGAAGCTTACAGAGTGGTTTTAGAGGAAAAAACATCTTTCAAGTTTCACATTGCTTTACCATAGCCTATTCTTAATTTCAAGATGAAGTGATGAAGTGATGAATGTTGTGAAGTAGTCTAGGTCACTTCATGCATGCGGAATCCTCCTCATAAACCATGCTACCCAAGATTTTGTACCAATTTCATTGTGAACTGCTATGACCCTAGAGCAAACTATCTGCCTTCCTTGGCAGCCTACTAAAGGAACACATCCCCAACAATGACAATCTTGAATGGAACCTGGGTCGCCTCAAGGCATATAAGCCTTGTACTCCTATGACCATCCTGATGGGTGCCACATATACCAAAACAACCATCACCAAACATGTCAGAAACAAGAACGTCGCCATCAGGTCCCTCCAGTGGCGGAGTCAGGAATTTCGGTAAGAGGGTCCAAGAAGATTGATAATTAAACAAGATAACATATATTTCTTTGCACGTTTGATTTGTATCTCAACATCATTACATAGCGAGACTTTAAAATATAAGAGCATATGATCATTCAATGTACTTGAACCAGGTAACAGAACTCAGCTTTTTTTAGAAATTTGTTCCTTAATTGAGTCACCCTCACCCCATCCATAGAAGTCTTTGAAGATATTTGGTTTCTAAAGAAATCATTCCATGACAAAAAATGAAAATAAAACACCTACAGTGAACACTATCCTGCTAGTTAATAGCTATCCCTTTGTAAATTTTAACAACAAAATGACTAAAAATTTTAACAACAAGTTATATCAAGAAAAAGGAAAATGCTCTAATCATTTAAAATTAAAAATAGGGTAATTATACGGAAACCACTTTTCATTTTCAATTTGTACATAAACCACCATTAAAGTTGGTTTTTTTTAAGCCAACAATCTCCTAGTCAAAATTTCACTGAAAAACTAAAAATAAACTTAAAAAATTCAAGTTCAAGGTTTGTGAGTTGTATCCTAATGAGACCTAGACACTAAAACCATCAATCACGTGCCGTGAATGTGAGTTTTTAAGGGTAATTTGGGTTTTTCGTGAAAATTTTGACTAGTTGCTTTTTGATTGCAAAAAAAATATCAATCTTTAATGGCGGTTTATGTATAAATTGAAAATGAAAGGTGATTTCTGTATAATTGCCCTAATTCTAAGGTGGCTTCTATGGGAAAAAACCATCTATTAAGAGATTATTAACAAACATAATAGAAAAATTAAACAAAATTCAGGTCTCAACTTCTTTTTCATGGAGAGCTCAAAAGCAACTGCATAGGCCAAGGAGAAGAAACCCAAGCCTGCAAAATGAAGTGAGAAGAAACTCCCATCCTGTGATACCCAAATAGTGTGAAATGTTTTAACTTTATAAGCCAACAATTTTATCCATACCTCTATTATATTTTGTTTGGGTTTTTTCTTTTTTTTTCTTTTTTTTTTTGAGGGGGGAGGGGGGATGGACCCTTTGGACCCATGTATATCCACCAAAGCAATGCCCTCACCATCTAGGCCTCAACAACCAACNCGTACCTCATTCTCATCACCAAACATAGCGAGGACGTTAGATGCGATTCGATTGGAGCAGCAGGGTCCTCACTGTATTGGTGGCCAGCATCGCGCTCGAGGCTATTGAATTGGGGGCGGACTTGCTCCATAAAGACCGTGACAACCATGAAGATAACTCCGGTCATATTTTCACTGATTGTGACAATTGAGTAAGATGTGGAGGATGTGTGCACTATATACAACTTACATTTTAACTTAGTCTGTTTAATGTTGCTTTCACCTGTTTAATTTCCGTGTTGGTTTCCCCAAATGAATATTTACATTATGACTATCTCTGCAAAAGTCACTCGCAAACAAATTGATAAGAGTGACTAGCCTCATGATAATACTGAAGTGGGCCTCCAAAATGGAGTTTCTTTTGTTGATCGTTGCAAACTTAATTTTGGACTGAGTAACATGCAGAAAGTAAATTAAATAGAATAAAATACAAGTAAAATAAAATCCAACACTTGTGTTAGAACCTTATTCATTCTGCTCCTCTGTTGCCCCTCAAGACTACCTCATGAGAGTAATTTTCATCTGCAGTATCACCAGTATCACTGGCTTAAGCTGTTGCTTTATTAATTTTCTTTCTATCTTAATTAGTGCACCACTAAAATGAAGAAGAATCCCATAATTGGCTTTGTAGACCATTCTAATAACAATCCTATCATAGCCCTAAAAATTTGATAGTATTAATTACTCTAGTTCAACAATGTGATGTGTCAATATCTGATTAATAAAGAAATATGAGAGGGGAAAACATTAGAAAGTGATAAGATTGAGTGTGGTCCAATTGCACGTTGTTTTCCGCCCTACTATGGATTAATTTATCATTGTACTAGTAATAACAAGAATTTGACTTTGTTAAATAAAAAGGGAATTTAATGCTCATGATATATTTATGTTCTGCAGAAAACAAAAGGTACTGGTTGGGAATGAGGAGTTAACAGCTCTGCTCAGTATAAACCCCCTCAAACCATCTAATTCTTATTCTCTTTGGTTGCAAAAGAGGGAAAAGTATAGGAGCTTGTATTCAAACTTTTAGCCAATTTGGTCCGATCTTTATAAAATGAATCCTAAAGAACAAATGGAAACAAAAGCTTCATGCAGCCCAATCCTAAACCTGTAAGATACATGAAATCTTAATTTCCCCAAAAGAGTTAATCAAATGAACAATCCCAAAATATTAGGCATGTTGGGAACCGACTCAAACTCCAAGTCGGATGCGGGTTTGAAGGCTAGGCCCAATCCTAGTAGTTTTCTTAGAAGCCAAGTTAACTTGGCAGGCAAGCCAGATGTGTTTTTAAATAAGGTGCCCTAATCTAGGGTTTTAGAGTAGAGAGAAGGAGAGAGACAATATTCTTGTAATCAGAATTTTAGAGGGTGTAACCGGGTTCGAGGGTATTGTGAGAGAGAGAGTTTGACAGTCTTTATCCGTGTAAAAGATTGTAATTTGGAGGTGATAATGGATTGATTTTGATCCCGTGGTTTTTTCCTGTTGAGAGTTTTTCACGTTAAATCTCACGTGATTCTATTTGTTGCGTTTGGTGATTTTCGGGGTTTTTGTGACATCTAAAAATCTAACAAGTGGTATCAGAGCGGGATTCGACGATCTGTGGAGGTTTGAGAGGTGTGCAATTGGCGAAGGTGTCAGTGGTCGAAGCACGGTGATCGACATCGGGAGAACGGAAAAAAAAAAGTACTATAGCAGCATGAATACTGTAGCAACGGGAATACTATAGCTACGGGAATACTGTTCACATGGGTGAGGGTTTAATTACAAACTATTAAATCAAATCCGATGGTACAAAGTGATTTGTTTTTTGATCGAGGGTTTGGAGGCGGATTTTAGTAATCCAAGAGTCGTTCCTAGGGTTTTTCGACGTGTTGAGTTCGTTTTTTACGTTGATTTTATCAAATTCAATCTTTACAATGAATAATTTGAATTTTGATTGTGGTTAGAGGATGATGACTTTTTCTTGTCTGAAGTTCAATATTTTGCTATTCAACGGCAAGACAAATTTTATAGTATGACAGTGTACGATTTAAGATATTCTTGTGCAGCAAGGTGTTGATTAAGCTTTAGAGGAGAAGAAACCTGAAAGATTGAATGATGCTGAATGGAGTTCCATGCAAAAGAGGGCGGTTAGCACAATTCGTTTGGCACTCGCCTCCGAGATCAAGTACAATGTTATGCAGGAGACCACACCAAGGAGGTTGTAGGAAAGGCTCGAGGGGATTTATGCGTCAAAATCGATGACCAACCAATTGTGTTTGAGGATGGAGCTTTATTCATTGAATATGGAAGAAGATACTATAATTTAAGACCACATCAATGCCTTTAATCAGCTAGTTCGCCAACTTATGAATATTAATGAGGAAATTAAAAAAGAAAAGCAGGCGCTACTCCTACTGTCTTCTTTGCCGAAGTCGTACAAGCCGTTAGATCAGACAATAATTGCAGGTAATTAGACTTTAAAGTTCGACGACGTGACAACACTCCTACGTGAGAATGAAAGAATTATGGGAAATGAGAGCGCATTTAATGGTGATGAGAATGCACTGGCTTTTAAATGTTCTAATAAACGAAGGAGTACTGGGAGATGTGATAGTTTTCGAAGGTCAAAATCTCGGGCTCAAGACGACAACGAAAGAGAGTGCTATTATTGCGGAGAGAAGAGTCACATTCAGTTCAGATGTTCCTAGAAACGAGATGATTTGAAGAGTATTGGACAGATGAAACTTCAAGAAAATGGGAAGGTGGGCTCCTCGATAGTTATGTGTAATGAAGATGTGGTGTCGTTGATGCAGAGTATAGGTACTAATGCGAATAACACTTGGGTGTTCGATTCTACAGCCTCTATGCACGTTTGTAATAACAAAAACTATTTTGACACATTGAAGATAGATGAAGAAATTGAGGACATGATCGTTGGAAACAACGAGAAGATGATAGGTTGAAGGCGTTGGGAGTATTCGCTTCAAACTTCACATTGGGAAGGTCGAAATTCTTCATCATGTGAGATATGTGTCGTCATGTGGTACTAATTTAATTTCGTTAGGTAAGATGGCATCGCATTGATACAAGTACGTGGGTGAAGGAGAGTGATGCAAAATGTATAAAGATGGTGATTTGATTTTACGAGGGAGAAAGAATAGCAACCATATTTGCTATTTAGATTGACAATCTGTTCACAAGGGAGAGATGAAGAACAAGAAGAAGAGAGTGAGTTTTTCTGAAGTTGTTAAGACACTTGAAGATTTTTCATCGAGGGGGGATATGTTGAGTACCGACTCAAACTCCAAGTCGGATGCGGGTTTGAAGGCTAAGCCCGGTCCTAATAGTTTTCTTAGAGGCCAAGTTAACTCAACGAGCAAGTCATGGGTGTCTTTAAATAAGGCGTCCTATTCTAGGGTTTAGAGTAGAGAGGAGAGAGCAAGGTTGCTGATAGCGGATAGCGGTGCGTCGTGACGATGTAACGCTAAGGCTGTTTGGGTCTATTGCGGCAAAATAGCGACAAATAACGCATAGTCAAATAACGATTAAATATAAATTTATTTAAATATTCTAAATAATAAGAAAAATAATATAAAAAATCTAAAAATTCTACAAGAACAAATAACAATATAAGTACTAGAACTTTACAAATAACAAATAACAAATAACAAATTAGTAAATTACTCGTCTGCTATAAATTAGTAAATTAGTAAATCAACATTAAACAGTTTACTTGGCAGTTAAACAACAAAAGGACATGGTCAATTCAAGCTAAGTAGCTAACAAGAGAAAATGAATGCACATTTCTGTTATTTGTCATCGGTGAATGTAAAACAAGAACAAAACTACATATTGACAGGATTACACAGGGAATGGTTGCACCGCTTGAGATTTTTCAGTTAGGTCCTTATCCTTACTAAAATCATTATCATGGGAATTTCAAAAATCAAATTATTACATTTTTCTCTCTGTTGCAGATGAAGCCCAACAAAGAGGAGATGTTGCTGCTGCTGGTCGTCGGAGGGAGCTGCTACTGGTTGCCGAAGGGAAGGTATGGACCTGACCTTCTAACGTCGCCAAAGGAAGTAAGAAGGAGAGAAAGGTGAGAGCGTGAGAGAGAGAGATGGGCTTGACCGGAGATGACGTGAGATGTTGGGAGATGTTGTCGGTGACGTTGACCGGAGGCGGCGATGAAAGTCGTCGCCGGATACATGAAAGAGAGAGGCACAATAGGGAGAGGCACCGGAGGCGGCTAGGACACATTCGGGAGTCAGAGAGAAGAAGATGAGTTTTAAGAGATGGGTTCAGGTCGGGTTTGGGTCGGGTTTGGGTCGGGTTCGGGGAGAGTTTTAACAAATGAGTTTAGCGCTTTTTAGCGTTAAAACCCACGATTTCGCGCTTTAGACCGTGTTTCGAGCAAAAGGCGGTTTTCTCCGCCAAAACACCCCGTTATCCCCTATATCAGCGAGGTGAAGCCCCGCGACCGCAAAAAGAGCTGCTATAGGTTGCGAAAAGAGCTGCTATAGCACCACTATTTCCCGTTTTTTACAACACTAGGAGAGGGATAATATTCTTGTAATCAGGGTTTTAGAGGGTGTAACCAGGTTCAAGGCTATTGTGAGAGAGAGTGTTTGGCAGTCTTTGTCCGTGCAAAAGATTATAATTTGGAGGTGATAGTGGATTGATTTTGATCCCGTGGTTTTTCACTGTTGATGGTTTTCCACGTTAAATTTCGTGTGATTCTATTTGTTGCGTTTCGTGATTTTTAGGGTTTTTGTGAGATCTAAAAATCCCAACAAGGCACACAACCAAATTTCAACGGACAAATTTTCAAAACCAACCCTTTTGATTTTTTATTTATAAAAAACGACCTATTTCAGTTTTATTTGTAAAAACCGACCTGGTTTCAGCCTCAGCGCTGAAACCAGGTCGGTTTTTGAAAAAAAGTTTCCGAAACTTCACGGGAGTTGAACTCCCGTGAAGTTTAGCAGCTTAATTAAAAGCTGCTAAACTTCACGGGAGTTCAACTCCCGTGAAGTTTCGGAAACTTTTTTTCAAAAACCGACCTGGTTTCAGCGCTGAGGCTGAAACTAGGTCGGTTTTTACAAATATTTTGAAAATGGGTCGTTTTTTACAAATAAAAAATCAAAAAGGTTGGTTTTGAAAATTTGTCCAAATTTCAACATACACACTTGGTACTGAACCATTAATTGAAGCATAAACGCAGATGAAATGCGACTCGCTAATTAGAATTTATATATAGAAAAGAAGAGGAGGCGAACCTCCATCATAGCTTTAAGTTGGTCTTTCGTCGGTGGATCATTATGAGGGCCAGGCAAGCGTTTGTTGATATCACTGAAACAAACCAACAACAACACATTTGACAACAGTAACAATATTTCAACAATTCAAGAACCCTAAATAAAAATAAGGAGACTATCACTTGTATACACAGAGAACTGCGATGTAGAGATATTCGAAGTTGATGCCGTCGCCTCCGCAATCGGCTCTGATGCGATCGTACACCTTATCCGTTATCTTCCTTATCTGCTTCTCTTTCCATTGTTTCCCTTTGTACCATCAGCAAGAAAAATGAACAGAAAAATGATTATCCCCCTTTTTTCCCAATTAAAATTGAATGGTAACAGTAAATAGAATACCATGGAATTTCTCCTGGACAGTGGCCAAGACCTGCCCCATGCTTCGAGCGCTTGAGATTTTGGTGAAGGCGAAGATGCGGTAGGTTGTTTTTGTTAAGATAGAGATTCTCTTTCCAGGCGAGCGGATTTTTAAAGTAATCAGGGGATTTTTATTGATGGCTAGGAGGAGGAGACGAGAGAGGGGAGAGATCCATTTCCCCCCTTTTATTTTTAGATTTTTTTTTTTTTAATAAATTGGGACGTAGCTTTCCAAGCTTGTGAGCTGAACCCCCAAGTTGATGTAGCACCCAGAGGTGATGCTCTAATTTGGTGTGGGTCCCACGTTGAAACCAAAAATTGTGACTTACTACTTAGAACGTGGCGTCCCGTGATTGGATGAATAATCACGATCAACGAGCCGTAAGGTAATGATCTACGAACAGCATTTTGATCTATGAACAGCATTTTTGTGAAATTAAAAAAATGATAAAATGATAAAATGCCGTAAGGTTGTGAGCTGAACCCACAAGTTGATGTCGCACCCAGAGGCGCTGCTCCAATTTGGTGCGGATCCCACAGTGAAATTAAAAAATGATGACGACTTGGAACGCGACGTTCCGTGATTGGACGAATAATCTCTCAATCAACAAGCCGTTAAAGTCATGAGCTCTTGATCTCTGGACAGCAAACATCCAACGTCCAATTTACTGGCAGAAAATTTCTGTGCTGAAGTCGTGCATTATCCCGTTCCGATATCTACTGTCCCCTATCTATCTATTATCCGTTTCTATTATTTGATAAAACTCACAATTTTGATTCTACCGCTATTGCATTCGACATGTTTTCTCAATAATTTATTACATATTGAGACCAGTCATAAGGACAAAATTAGAAAAAAAAAAATCTAAAAATAGCTTAACTATCTTCCATTACTTGATTTAACTTTCATCACTTCCCACATTTTCTAATAGTAAAACCATTTTGAAGTTGTTAACATTATTTTTTTCATGGGCAAGCTCACTACGTAATGCATGCATCGGGTACAACAGAGAACTACTATTTAAATAATTGGATCTTCACTATATTTCAAAATTTTGACAATACAACGCTCCATTGTTTGATTGAAATACACTTTTAAACATATTATATTCCCTTTGTTTTTGTTAAGATAGAGATTCTCTTTCCAGGCGAGCGGATTTTTAAAGTAATCAGGGGATTTTTATTGATGGCCTAGTGAGAGGAGACGAGAGAGGGGGAGAGATCCATTTCCCCCCTTTTATTTTTTAGATTTTTTTTTTTTAATAAATTGGGACGTAGCTTTTCCAAGCTTGTGAGCTGAACCCCCAAGTGATGTAGCCACCAGGCAGGTGATGCTCTAATTTGGTGTGGCGTCCCACGTTGAAACCAAAAATTGTGACTTACTACTTAGAACGTGGACGTCCCGTGATTGGATGAATAATCACGATCAACGAGCCTGTAACGGTAATGATTACGAACAGGCATTTGATCTATGAACAGCATTTTTGTGTGAAATTAAAAAAATGATAAAAATGAAAAATGCCGTAAGGTTGTGAGCTGAACCACAACGTTGATGTCGCACCACAGAGGCGCTGCTCCAATTGGTGCGGATCCCACAGTGAAATTAAAAAATGATGACGACTTGGAACGCGACGTTCCGTGATTGCGACGAATAATCTCTCACATCACAAGCCGTTAAAGTCATGAGCTCTTGATCTCTGGACAGCAAACATCCAACGTCCAATTTACTGGCAGAAAATTTCTGTGCTGAAGTCGTGCATTATCCCGTTCCGATATCTATGTCCCCTATCTATCTATTATCCTTTTTTTATTATTTGATAAAACTCACAATTTTTGATTCTTACCGCTATTGCATTCGACATGTTTTCTCAATAATTTATTACATATTGAGACCAGTCATAAGGACAAAATTAAAAAAAAAAAAATCTAAAAATAGCTTAACTATCTTCCATATACTTGCATTTAACTTTCATCACTTCCCACATTTTCTAATAGTAAAACCATTTTGAATTGTAACATTATTTTTTTCATGGGCAAGCTCACTACGTAATGCATGCATCGGGTACAACAGAGACTACTATTTAAATAATTGGATCTTCACTATTATTTCAAAATTTTGACAATACAACGCTCCATTGTTTGATTGAAATACACTTTTAAACATATTATATTCCCTTAAAAATATGCAGCTTAAGAACCCCCCCCCCCCCACCCCCACCCCACCACCCAAAACACAAAAAAAAAAACACACGCTAGCCCTCACTTATAAATGTCCCCTCTCACCAAATAAAATGATGGTTGCGCTGCTTCATCTCCTATCTCTAGGTCTTCGTTCCTCAAAATCATCCAACTCGTATGCTTAGCCGTCCATTTGCTGGAGATCTCTCCAGCAATATCTTATCATCACTAACAGAGAAGAATTGAATGTACATTTGTTTTTCTGTATATAAAATAATTTTGCCATCACAAGCTATGCACGTTCGAACTAACTAATACGGTTCTAAAGACAAGTCACAAACTACTAGAATCACACTCGCACTCAGTCTAGCTTGCATAAAGACACTGATGTCACAAGGTACGCCACAAATTCTAACGAGACAAAGGTAGCAAAGACTAGTAACATTTAGTCACATTCAATATAATGATATCCTTTATTTTTGATAAATCCAATTATGCAAATTATTGCCAGAGTTCTCTTATTATTTTCACAAAAGAAGCACGCTGTATGTACACCAGATGCACGGACTTTTAGCTTCTTCTCAATCCACCCTTACATCTTGGAGGAGAACAATACCCGCAGCGTAAACTGAAGCAATGAGAGGAGTTGGAACCTTGTCAACTGTATCTCTGATACGTGGAACTTGCCTCCCTACTTTTTTTGTTTGAACTGCTAACAGAGGTCCGGCGAGAAGAGCGAGTATAACCCTGTTTGCAAGAACTATACGCAGGTCTTTATGGATCCACTCCATGATTATCTCATAGAATTCATTGCGGCTTATTGCAGTTGTTCCTTTAGCACTTAAGGCCTGAAATTCATCATTGATGACATGTAAGTTAGAAGGTTTGTAAATTTCCTCCCTCAATGGTGTTATATTCCTTTTTGATGTGTATGCGCACGTACAGGAAATATATTCCTTTAAATGTTATACCCATTCACAAAATTCAAAGTTTTTCATAATAGAAGCACAAAACACATTAAAGATTTTAGGTTTCATCGCTGATAGACCCCTTGTACTATCGCCCAACTGCAAATTGACCCCCTGGATTTCTATTGCTGCAGATAGATCCCTTGAGAGTCTTTTTTTTTAATCTCTTTACCTTCAGGAAGCCTATTTGTCAAAAGAACAAGTTTCTCTTCTCTGAGTAAAAGAGTCAATATTTTCACTCAGGGGTCTATCCGCAACAATAAAACTATGGGGGGTCTATCCATGATTGTGCAATAGCACAGGGGGTCTATCTGCAATTGACCCAAATTTTTTATATATCTGAGATATTTGTAATGAAACGCATAGCCATAGTCTTTCTTTTACTTCAAAAGAAAAGGTTCAAAAGGACAGCAAAAGTACAACTAAAAAACCAACCACGCATGAAGCAACCATAGAGCAATCCTACAGCACCTCATATGGTTGTCACAGGGAGAAGATAACAACAAACTTCTCCAAGGACCAACATCGTCATAGAAATATTATGTCAGCGCAAAGAATTGGCAGAGAAGCAGACAGTCTTTTTGTTGACAAAACTCATTACGTAGAAAACATCTAGTTTCTTATGTAAGTATGAAATAAGAGTCTGTTCCGGCAATACCTTTACTTTGCTCTGAACTGCTTCCATTGAGGGTGGTTCTTTATAAGGACTAAGAAATTGCTTGTTCATAGAACTGCAGGGGGGGAAACATATAGTGGTTAAATATGTAATGAAAATTTATCAAACAAACAAAACCATACAGAAAAATGAATTATTCTTACTTATAAACCATCAAGGTCACAATGTGAAGATCTTTTACTGCCAAATTGCCCTTATCCTTCTCTGGCCACTGATTGAAAATCTTGTCACATATTCTTTGCACTTGCCACTTCCCTATAAGAGGTAGGAACTACATTACAGTGATGTAGTGATGGGAAAGGCTTGTAAATGCATATCAGAACTTAGCATCATGCAGGTGTAAGCGTAGTCATGCAATGAATCGTTTTTCTATATACAGTAAAAACAGCACTGCTAAGAGAAATTTTAGAAGATAGCCTATCCTTTCCACTACAGCCATTCACCCCCAGCTGTTGTTGTCGAGATTCTAAAAGTTTTATAGACCTTCCAGAGTGATACATTGTTATGTTTCGTAATATATGTACAATCATGTCTCAGTGGAAAGATCAGACGCTGATAAGATTAAATACAAGCAATGATTTGAATAAAACTAAAGGAAAGTTACAGAGAAAATAGGAGTTGGCTTCATTATGGAGAGATTGTAGAATAATGCCCATAATGGTGAGGGTTTAAGTATATCCACACACCAACAAGAAATGAGACAAAAAAAAAATTTAAAGTGCATGGTTTGGGCTCTTAACAGCTAACAATCACCATAGGTGAAGGTAATTATTAAGGGAGATTCTTGGGTTATTACTAAGGTAGGCAGAAAGCGAAAATTAAAAGATGGAACTCATGGATTTCAATAAGGTGCTTGTGAAGAAAATTGAACACTTAAATAAATAAATCTCTCCGCTTTGTTGATTTAAACATGATTGTCCTTTTTATATTTGGCAATGCTCGTCCTCTGTAAATTTGACAATGGTACAGAGGCTCTAGTAAAACCCAATTCAAGTATCCCAACCAAGTTAAGGACATTTAAATGACAAGGTAATTAGTTTGAAAAAAAATCTAATCTTAAAAATAATAAATTAGGAAAATTTGATGATACAAGTGATCTACTATTGATTTAATGGGTCAATTGCAGATTCTGTACTATTGCTAACTTGGGAACAGACTCCTTGTAATTATATTGGTGCATATAGTGATATAGACCCGCCTTGGTGCTAGCCCGAGTAATGGCGTAGACGGCACCGCGCCGCCCGCCCCCCCAACCTGAAAAAAAAAAAATTGAGCCTGAAAAAAGTTCACTGCAGGGTTTTATTTTACGCACACCAACGGAACTATAAGGGACCTAATGACAATTGGGCTATAGTACGGGGGATCTATCCACAATTGGGTGATAGTATAGGGGGTCTATCTACAATTAAGCTAATACGTTAAAAAATTTAATTTAAATATCCCACTACAATAAAAAAGCGTCAATTGAAGGTAATATCAAATGAATTTTATACCTTTCATATCATTAACATTAAAAGTAATTCACCATTCTAGGAGATAAGTAGGGCATTATGTCATACATAAGGTAACACAACATGAAATATTCAAGATGAGAGAAGCTGCATTGGAAATGATAATTACGATGACATACATTTGTTCGCATGAGGAAGCACACTCCATAGATACAATTTTCATTCAGCATAATACGATTAAATTGAGTTGCAGATAACTTTTCTTTGACCTTGTTATCTTGACTTGGTCTTGTGTGACCAAATCAACCATTCTTCTCTCAACAGTAAGATTCTTAATTGAGAGAATTAATGGGAAGTGGGGCTGTTGAGTTCTATAAAGAAAACCCAACATATTCCAACTAAAACAAAAGAAGCTTCACTAATCAATCCTGTATTTTTTTTTCGCATCACAAATGCCAACAACTCAAGAAAGAAAATTACCTTGAGCTCTATCCCAAAGATGCCCAGCAACTTGACCCATTCTCTAACTTGGAAATTGTTGGAAACCCTAGCGAACATTTGGGGGGGGTTTAAATGGAGAGAGGGGTGCGAGAGGCAAAGGGGACTCTTGGCAGATTCTCAAAGCGATCAGCATCGTCGCCTTTAAACACCTTCGTCTCCAAGCGAGGGATTAGATTTTGGGCGCGATGCAGACAGCGAGCTTCGCTCTTTGCTTCGCTCGCCGGCAAGCACTGTTCTCTTCTTGGAAGGAAGGGCAACGAAATAGTTCATCCGCGCTCGGTGACCTCTGCCCGTCCTTTTAGCGGGTCGGATCCTGGGTCTAAGACTATCTCCATCAGGAGTTAAAATTTTAACATTCTCCCTCCTGCCACATCACTTTATTCCCCCTCCACGTAATTCAACAATTTTTATTTTCTATCATCTCTATAGCAGGAGTTTTTTCAAAAGATTTTTACTTTATTTGGGACCCACTATAACCCCATCACTCCAACATATATACCCTACCTTATTTATTCATTTCTTTTTCTTATTTCATATATATTACTACTACTACTATTATTATTACTAATATAACTCATTTATTTATAATTATAATTTTTTAATATTTACATAAATAATATATATTATTAATTTAATTTTTGATAATATTTTTATATTAACAAAAAACACACGATTTTATTAAGCATACGGAAAAGTCAAACACACACAAAAATTATAAATTAATTCCTAGTATTTATCTCCCAAAATATCATTTAAAAGTTAGGAGTAAAACAAAAAAAAAACCAACCAATCAAGCCTTGACACATGGCTCTCTTTAATTGTTGATCTACTGTTGTGGGACCCACACGGAGAGAAAAACCGGAGGTGAAAATTTCACCCATTGGTCTCCGGTTTTTCATTTCACCCCTTTGAAAGCCACCCGCTGGAGGAAAAAACCCCCTCAAATATCTCCTGTTGGAGATAGTCTAACTGCGGAACCAATTCTAAAGAGGGTAAATTCCACGTAACCCCCTCAATATGGCAGCTCCTCTTGTAGACTAGTTTTGGGCCTTTTGGCCTGGCGCGCATGGAAAACATGGACCAAAACAAAATCAGTTTAACATAAAAAATCAGGCTAACATGCAAGCTTGTCCTGATGTACTGTTTTATCTTAAATTTAGGCCATAACTTAAACTGCTTTTGTTTCGCTACACCAATTTTAAATTGAGTTATCAAACGTGCAGCTGTTACATGCTATTAGATAATCCCCTTCACCTTTAAAAATTGTAACTTGACCCTCACAATTTTAAATTGAGTTTTCTGAAGCTTTATCAGGATTCGCACGGCCTTCTCAAAATAACGTTGAAAATTTGTGGGTTTTGAAACTAATGTTGAAACTTATGGGTGATGCTTAAAACAACAGGGAGTAGTACAGTTAGGCTGACAAAATTGTAAATATTTGGGAGGCTTTGTGACAAAAAGTTAGAAGGAGCTGAGTAACACTTTTCCCCCCTTAAGCTTTAGGGCTTGTTTGGATTGAGGGTAATGGGGGTGAGGGGAAGGGAGGGTAACTTTTAACCTTGTTTGAAAAGTAAATATAGCAAGTTAATAGGGGTGAGGGGAGGTGAAAGGAGGTGAAAAAATAACATGATTTCTCTCATTCCCCCCCCCCCCCCCCCAATACAACAAATGTAGAGAGACATATTTACCCCTAGCTAAGATCAAAATCCAACGGCTAAAATTTCTAACAATAATATAACTTAATAATATGTGAGAGTATTTATGTCAATTTATATACATTCTCTTCTCTTCCCTTCCCGTTATTACACTTTCCAAACGGGGTGAAATAACTTTCCCTTGATTCACCTTACTAGTTTCCCAAACAAGTTTTAGAAATTCCCTTCCCTCCCCTTAACTTAACTTCCCCTAGGTTCCTCTAACTTCCCTTCACCCCCTCCAAATCCAAACAAGCCCTTAGGGATGTTATCTCAAAATTGACGAAATAGGTAAGGGGGTATGTGAATTTCACCCTTATAAATACATAAAATGCACGTGGGGATATCAGGCCCACGAGTTCCTAAATATGGTTTAACAAAATGTAACAACTGTTGTAATATACTAAAGAAATGAAACAAGAGACAAGAGACAAGAGAAGAAGAGAAATTATAATATTTCTTCATTAATTCTATTTTCATACATCGTACAATTTATAGATACATGATGGAAGATAAAAGGACATCAAGTTAATAGTCCACATACAAAGTAATGTTCACATATATTTTGTCTTTTAGATATCAACAAAATATCTTTTAGATATCAACAAAATGTCTTTTAGATTTTAACATTCCCCCTTGGACATTACTTCGAAATGTCAATGCCTCGTTAAAAACCTCGCTAGAAAACCCAGTGGGAGAAAAACTAGTCGAGGAAAAGAGTACACGACATAAGTAGATTCTTGTGTTGCATTAGTTGCCTCATTAAAAACCTTTAGCTAAGAAAACCATGTGGGGAAAAACTTAGCAAAGGGAAAAAAGGGTACAACTATAGACCTTCAAGACCCAATCTTCGGGATTGTCTTGAAAATTTGCTCCCCCTGATGATGACAATCTTCTGAGTGTATGCTAAGAAAAACCCAGTAGGTCAAAACTTAGCAAAAGGAAAAAATATGACGATAGATCTTCAGGACCCAATCTTCAGGATTATTCTTTAAGAATTTGCTCCCCCTGAAGACGATAGTCTTCCAAGTTTGCGCATACCAATATTGTGAACATATTTCTCAAAAGTTGATGTAGGCAGAGATTTGGATGTAAAATATTCTCCTATTAGTGATTGTATTACATTCCACAAGTTAATACCTATGGCAGAAACTATGAATTTATATATGCAGTATATGTACGTCATGACCATATTTTTATATGTGTCATTAGACGCTAGTATTTTTATATGAAAGTCCCTGATGGACTTAAAATTCCTGAATTGAGAGAAAACGAGAATCATAACATGTATAGCATTAAATTACAAAGGTGGTTATACGACTTGAAACAGTCGAGTAGAATATGGTATAACCGACTGAGTGAGTTCCTCCTAAATAGGAGATATGCAAATAATGATGTATGTCCTTGGGTGTTTATAAAAAATTCAAAAATAGCTTCTGTATTATCTCGGTCTATATTGATGATATAAATGCTATTGGAACGCACAAGGAGCTTACAGAAGCTAGCTTATGCCTAAAGACGGAGTTTGAAATGAAAAAAACTTGGGAAAAACCAAGTATTATCTCGACCTGCAGATCAAGCATGTTCCTAAAGAAATATTGGTATACCGGTCAACCTTCCTGAAGAAGGTCATGGAGAGATTTTAAATGAATAAATCTCATGAACTTAGCACACCAATGGTTGTTAAAAGATTTTAAATGAATAAATCTCATGAACTTAGCACACCAATGGTTGTTAAATCCCTTGAAGTGGATAAATACCCATACAAACCTAAAGAAGATAAAACTTAGCACACCAATGGTTGTTAAATCCCTTGAAGTGGATAAATACCCATACAAACCTAAAGAAGATAACGAGGATATTACCCGAAGTCCCGTATTTGAGCGCGCTATTGAAACACTTATTTATCTTACAAATTGTACTATGCCTGATATTGCATTTGTGTTACACTTGCTAACAAGAATTAGTGCATCTCCTAAAAGGAGATATTGAAATAGTGTTAAATATATCCTCTGTTATCTTCAAGAGATCTTTGTTTATTCTATAAAAGAAATCAAAATATGACATTGGTGGGCTATTCTGATGTTGGTTATATGACTGATCCCCATATTGCCAAATCTCCGGCTGGTTATGTTTTTCTCTGCAGTGGTACTGTTATTTCTTGGAGGTCTATTAAGCAGACAATGTTTACTAGTTGAAACCACTCAGAGATTGTTCCTCTATATGTGCCCCATGCGAACGTGTAAGGTTCAAATCGCTGATAAAACACATTCGATGATCGTGTGGCATATTAGACGAGGATATTACCCCCGCTGTCTTTTCTAAGGACAATGTAACTTGTGTTGCATAAATGAGATGTGGAAAATTTTTATCCACTTGCGCTCAAAAATAACAATGAAATTAACATAGATAAGTTCGCTCTAAGTAGTGACAATCTAAACGATTTGATCACCAAATCTCTTAATATATAAACTTTTAATTTTATGATATCGTGCTTGGCCACCACGGTAATCATAGACTTGAATGTTTGTTGTCTTGAGGGGGAGCGAATTATTTTTCAGAATAATCCTGAAGATCAAACCCCGAAGACGGTGGTTGTACTCTTTTTTCCTTAGCTAAGTTTTTGTCCCACTGGGTTTTCTTAGCCAAAGGTTTTTAATGAGGCAGCTAATGCAACACAAGTTTGGATCCCGAAGATCTATAGTTGTACTCTTTTTTCCTTTGCTAAGTTTTTGTCCTACATGGTTTTTCTTAGCGAAAGGTTTTTAACGAGACAACTGATGCAGAAATAATGTATGTATGTCATGTACTCTTTTTCTCGACTAGTTTTTCTCTCACTGGGTTTTTTCTAGCGAGGTTTTTAACGAGGCATTGACATCTCGAAATAATGTCCAAGGGGGAGTGTTGAAATCTAAAAGACATTTTGTTAAAATCTAAAAGACAAAATGTATGTGGATATTACTTTGTATGTGGACTATTAACTTGATGTTTTTTTATCTTTCATCATGTATCTATAAATTGTATGATATATGGAAATGAAATTAATGAAGAAAATAATTTCTCTTCTTCTCTTGTCTCTTGTCTCTTGTCTTATTTCTTTAGTATATTACAACAACAACATTAGACTTATTGGGGAATTTCACTCTCCCCGCCTACTACAATATGTGCAACTCCGAAGCCAACCCACAATCAACAAGATATAAAATGACCACAATCAAGAAAAAAGAACACCGGGATTTACGTGGTTTGGTCGACTAACTTCGACCTATGTCCACGGGGCAACACTACGGGAAATTCACTATGTATCAGGGAGAACTACAAGAGGAACCACTCAACTCTCGTCTCTCAATCTCTCAACCTCATATACATAATCAACTCTCATATTCTCTCTAAAGAGCACTCCTCGTAATCTTTTGCTCGGATAAAGATCACAAAACCCTCGCCTCTCGTACAATATTCTTGAATCAGGCTACGCCCTCTACTAACCCTATATTACAAGAATATTGACTCTCTCTCTCTCTCTCTCTCTCTCTCTCTCTCTCTCTTTACTACATCTTCTCTCTACTCTCTTCTTCTTAGTTTTTCCTC